GAAGAAGAAGAAGAAGAAGAAGAAGAAGAAGAAGAAGAAGAAGAAGAAGAAGAAGAAGAAGAAGAAGAAGAAAATACAAACCAAACTAATAACAGCCTCGCCTCTGAGGTACTTTCAAATTCACCAACCTGCAGGACCAGTAAAATGGGGAACTGTCTTCAGGATATGGATCCCTGCCTCTTCCTGTAGTTTCTGTTCCCAAGAGTATCAACAGGACTTCAAGACAAGAAAAGGCACAGGAACTGACTTGCCACAGGACCCACACTGTCTGGCTAACTCTGCTGTCACTGAGCCCAAACAAGGTCAAGAGAGCAAGCTTTTGGCAGCTGAGTCATACTTTATGCTTTTCTCAGTCCCCAAGGTTCTTGCTGCCTTCATTGTGCAGACCAAATCTTTTAGAAAAGGGAAGACAGAAGTAACATTTCCCAGATCTCTCTCACAAAAGAAAGTCAGAGAAAGGAGGCAAGAGGTAGAAGAGGAAGTGCAAACAATGACAGAGAAAAAAAAAAAACAAAAACACCTTATATGGGCAAAAACGAAGTTCGAAAGTAAAGCTTTTTTATTTTTATTTATTTTTTCTTTTGAGAACAGTGGTGACTACATTACCTTTCTCATAACGACACTAACTAAACAAAATGTTAGAATCTTCAAATAATAAACCTTCTAAAATATATACCTCAGAATGAAAAATAGAGTCTGCTGCATTATATACACTTAGCAGTTCGTCATAATGGTCACCACTTTCAGCAAATCTTGTAATTGTAGAGCGAAAGGAAACTTGTATTAATCTCGATGTCTCCATAAACTTAGTATTAAAATATTTATACAAGTTTTTCTTTTCCAGACCCATTTTTTAGTATAGTCTATAGTTACTTCTGATCAAGCTCTAAATTAGATATTTTTACTTATGTCACTTTTAAGAATGTTTGTCAGGCTGGGGAGATAGCTCAGCGGCATAAGTTTGTGCCTAGCAAGCAGGCACAAGGTCCTGAGTTAAATCCCTGGTACAAAAAAAACCAAAAAATTGACGTTGATTAAAAACAGTGACAGGAAAAAAAAAAAAGTCTGCTTTAAAAATTATACTTTCTTCAAATTAAGAAAATAAATGACATCTGTGTCATAGTTACTTATTTTTTTTCCATAATTTTATTGAGAAACAAATAGCAATGAGACAGTTTCAAATCAAATCGGTAGGGCAGTTTCAATAATTAACACACTGCATACTCTCTTCCTAGTGGTTATTTGCTGTACAAAATGCAGACATGATATCCTATTTACAAACACTATTAGAACAAATCCCTCTATTCATTAAGAGAATGTAATTATATATCTATCCTAAACCTTTGAATACACAGATACAAAATGGACATTCATCTGTATCCTTTTTTGTTTAGTTCTGTCATTTGAATATTCTAGGTGTGTTAACTCAGCAAAATATTCTAAAGGAGTCCAGAAGTCCATAATAGTATTGGGTGTTCCACTTGACTGGCAGTGTCAGAAATTGTTGACCTGAGTCCCCTACAGCTCAACATAACACCAAGACTTTACTTATACTTTGTTTTTATACTTTTCTGCTGGATGGTTAAGACCAAGACAAAGCAAGACCTATGCAACAAGAGTTGTAGCTTTTGGATCTCATAAGGTCACTCAAATCCCCTCAGGATTTATCCTGAGATCCTATACCACAGATTGTAGATCCTTTGTCAGTGTCAGCCATGAGTTACTTTCTTTTTGCTAAGATACCCAACACCTAAAGTTAAATGGAAAAAAGTTCATTTTGGCTCACAGTTTGTAGCTGTTTCAGTCCATAATCACCTGCCTCCAAGGCAGGGTGGCGTGGCAGATGAGAAACAGTTCATGGTGGACAGAAGGTAGCAAAGCAAGCAAGGATCTTACCAGCTTCTTTCTGCCCCTTTTATACTCTGTCTAAGATATAGAATTAGGATGGTACCAAACCAGTCAGTGGAGTGACTCACTAATCACAAACTTTTCTTTTTTCCTTTTTTTTTTTTTTGCGGTACCAGGGATTGAACTCAGGACCCTGAGCTTGCTAGGGAAGCACTTATTCTACTGAGCTATCTCCCTAGCCCAGTAATCACAAACTCTTACTCCTTGCATCACACACCCTAGATCCAGCCACCTCTGAAAAATCCCTACCTACAACTGCATGAGGCTCTGAGGGGACATCTGGACACAAATTATAAAATTTGTAATCTCATCACTGAAAAATTGAGGTAAGAGGTACCCATGCCTGAGCCTAGCCTGCGCAACTGAACAATTTAGCAAGATCCTGACTCAAAATTTAAAAATTAGAACAAAAAACTGGGATGTAGTTTACATAGAGCTCCTGACTTCAATAATCAGTTCTTCAAATGATAATGATAATGACAATGACAACTGAAGGCACAACCTGTCATCATTAGCAAGTCTATTTATTGGCTCATTTGCTTTTTGAGACAAGGTCTTGCTATTTAGTTCTGGGGGTATTGAACTCACTAGGTGGCCCAGGATAACAGTGAACTCGCCGCAGTTCTCCTGCCTCAGCCCCCAAGTTGCTGGGATTGCAGGCATGCACCATTACCCCAGATCAAGTAAACTGTATGAAAAACAAGGAAAAAATTCTTTCATAATGCATCTATTTGAATCAGAATGACTGGAGCTTTCCTGCTTTGACAATATGACCTCTAGTTTTAGAAGACTGTATAGAAGAAAGTAAGCAACCTATTTCAGGATAAAAAATATTTTTAATGTGCAAAAATTTATAAATGACACAGAATAACAGGAATTTAAATGAAGAGTTACATCCCACACTAGAACTGTATAACTGCTACTCTGATGTTTCAAAAATACGGTTTGCATTTGTTTGATGGCTAAGTGGGCATATCACAGTCTGTAACAGTGAAGCTGCAAGGGGCTGTTCAATCTTTGGTTAGTTGGAAGCTGCTTTATTATTGCGCATTTCATTACAGTGTAAAGGATACGGCACTGGCATGATTTATACCAACAAAGACAGCTACACACCGCATTACACTGGACCACTCTCTTTTAAATTTATGTGGTTCTCCCAGATGCCTGTCAATGCAGGGGTATAATAACCCAATCACAGCTGTGGAAAAAAAGAAAAACAATGTTATCTCCAATGTTATACTGGCAAAAATTAAAATATAAGAATGACTATGGCCATGACATGTATTTTTAAGATTCTTTAAAAAGAAAAAAAAACTTAAGTTATTTAATATCAATCACAGACTTAAACTTACGCTTTCAAAGAATACCATTGAAGACAGCATTATAAATGATTACACAGTAACCTAAATTCTAATAGATGAAACATTCTATTGTACAACTCACAATTCAGGAGCCTGGACTAAATGATTCATGCTACCTCTCTACTACAAATATATACAAGACCTGAAAAACATCAAATCGGTTAGCACTTAAGCAATGTGTTTTGAATCTGCCATAAGCATGAACTATGTCTTTAGTGCCAGCGATATAAAAAGAGAAGTTATGAGCATTAATACATAAAATAATTTCATCACACACACAGTTTCACAGTCCAGGCTGTCCTGTCCTGTAGACTATCCTTGCCCCATAGCGTTTCACGTCAGTCTTCTACACCTAGCATGTTTTCCTGACACTTCTTTCTATCCTGGAGCTCTTATAAGACTGAAGGTCATACTGTCAAAGCAGGAAAACTCCCAAAATAAATCTATATATAGCATTAATTCTGCACATAGAAAGAATAAACATAGTCTGTAGGTGTACAAATTTTCACATGAAATTTAAATTCAGAGTTAAAACATAAGTCATTTTACTGTATTTCCTAGTTTGGGAAAGAACATCTTGAATATTAACTGTGCAATTAACTATAAACACAGTTACTGTTCACAAAGTATATATGATTGATATCCAAACTATTTTCCAACAATCCTTACTTATGAAACATCAAAATTTCATTTACTAAGTAGAAGAAAATATAAAATGCTGAGTTATTTTTAAAAGACTAAATGAACGAAAACATTATTTAATGAATTGCAAGAAAAATCTACTTTCATAGATTATTTTTAATAGGAACTAGCTAGGCAGTGTTAATTTGTTAATCTTCCTCAAAGTAGAATGATTACACTATTCTGAGAATAAAGACACCACTGTCACACCATTTGAAAAGCACGTTTGAAATGTCCACAACCACCTATGATGTATAATGAAACTGTTGTATCAAAATCTAAGTGTGGGAGGGTCACAAACTCCTCCCCAACGTGGTATTAGCGAGTTACCTCTCACAAACACAGCATTTAATCCTCAGAGAAAAACAGAAGCCAATTAACATCACAAATCATAGGCTAGTAGATTGATGGAACAGCATTCCAGAGGGTGCCTGGCCACTGTACCATCAGGAGATGAGATGCTGTAATAATGCATATATTTTCTGGTCCAAATCTTTCAAGATTTACTGAATATAGATGGGTCACAAACCATTAAGAAATTAAAGACCAACCTCAGCAAAGCAGAGCTCCACCAACTACTAGGCAATTTCTGTTTCCTATTAGTCCTATTTAAAAGTTGTTACTCTAAAATCCTGCAACATTAGCTGACAGGATTTCTTTCTGACACAATTAAAATGGCAACACATCCCTAATAATTGAAACAAGCAGATGAGTAGATGAATATTATTTTTTCCCCAAGAGGTCATAAAACTAAAAACTCATCTGTCATTCTTCTTTCCCCCAGTTCTTCTATATAATATATATAGAAATAGATATAGCCAATATAACTATGTCTGTATCTATCTATATTCAAACCTATTGCCCTCCTCTCTTTTCCACTCCCCTTCCCCCTTGTCTCTCTCCATCCACCTATTGCTGAGTAAAATCAGCTAAGAGTAAGTTCTCCAAGTCAATTTTCCTCGGCACTTGATGCCACAGATATAGAATTATCACACAGAGAACACTGACATGTATATGGGAAGGTATAAATAAGTAAAATTGACTACATTTTTATGCATGTGATGTCAGACTTGCAAGTGAGAGACAACTGAGGAGAGGAAGCAAAAACACAAAAAGGAATTTGAACTGCCACCTGCCAACCTGGGATTTGCCACTAAAAATCAAGTCTATTGAGTATGCATGGTTCTTGGTTGCTCACTGAGAGGAAGAATTCGAGGAAGCTTGTCACTTCCCATTAAATATCTTTTTTTTTTTTTTTTTTTTTTTTAAATAATGGCATGGCAGAATCCAATAGCAATATATACAGTGCTGTAAGGCTTCAATGTTTGGGAGCTCAGAAGAATACATTTGAGGTGTTTTGTTTGTTTTGTTTTTTTTTTTCCCTTCCTATACTTAAAAAAAAAGAAAAAAAAAAAAAAAAAAAAAACCCAGACTGTTAAAACCATGCCTGTGTCCAATTACATGCAAACATAGTCCTGCTTGATCAGAAGGTGCTCTGATGCAAAAATCACACTTCTTGTGATATCTTTAAGCAGTTTCCCAGAAACCAGCTACAGTTTGCCAAGCCTAAAGACCACCTGCAGTAAGTCATCCATTTATGATGGTATTGTGCTTAACACAGTGAGAAAATAAAAAGAATAAATTAGAAGGAGAAAGGGCCTGAAAAGGCAAAACCACTCCATGATACACTTCCATGGAAAACTAGAATAGACTAAGATGTTTTCATTCAGCAAATACTCACATCCTACAGTTCATCTGGTTCTTGGTATTTGACGGGGATTTTAAAGGGGAAAAAAGAGTAAGATATGATTTCAGTAGTAAAGCAGTGCTAAATGGAGTGCTGTGTTGGGAGAAAGATGGATCCCAGCCCTCTCCTGCATCTGGTGAGCAGAGGTGGTACTAACTGGGCCAGAAGGGAAGCTTCACAGACAAGATGACCCTTGGTCAGCTGTATTTAGCAGGTGACTGGCATGGAAATGGCTTTCTCATCAACAAGAAACATTTAAGAAACAGCTGAAAGGAGCCAATATCACAGGAAACTGTAATCCCAAGGCACACAAGGGGCTTCAGAATGTAGAAAGATTCACAGGAAGATAAGCACACAAAGCCAGATAGAAGACAGTTTACCCTGCAGATACTGGGGAAGCAGGAAAATGATGCTATCATGCTCTTCCCAGAGAGAAGCAACTGTTTCTATGACTGAGTGTACAACTCAGGGAATGAAGCTGAGGTAAAATGCAGGCACAAAGATAAAAACTGAAAACCCCAAGCAGTGGCAAAGCCTAGACTAAGAGTAAAGATGTAAAACTTGGAAGCTAGAAGTGAAAGGTGAAAACAGAGGAGGAGTATTACTGGACTCTCCAGGAATGGGGTGAAGGTCTGCATGATGAAATGGAAAAGATTTTCATATTTTCTTTTCTCTTTTAAGTTACCGATTGCTTTCACAGGTTTGGACTTAAACTAGCTATCTGTGATTTTTGAGGCAACTTCCCTATTTACGTTACCCACACCATGACAACTGTCTGCTCTTCTTTTATTTATTCTTTAAAAAGATTCCTTTGTAGTCCTCAGTAATGCTCAGGAGGTTCTAATTCTAGTTCCACTACAGTGCACATAAAGAAGGTAACCAAGTTCTAAACATCAGCACTGTTAAAGTAGGGAAATAAATACAAAAAGGAAAATGAGAAGAAACTTATGAGACATTTCTACTAATCCCTGAAGGACTTCTCGCTTTTTCTAAGACAGTGTGATAGGGAACTAGCCAATAATTAGAGGCTTTTTGTTCACAGTTAAAGATGGCGATTCTGGAAGCTCTCCAAAACATAGCTGCTTCAAATGCTTAATGTTAGTTGGATAGGAAAATCAAAAGATGACTATCAATTTTTCTGACTTACAACAGTAAAAATCTAGAGAGGTTGTGAAAATACTTATATATCTTCATATGCACTGTATTTCTTATATCACTTATCTCTTTTCCTTTGATGTTTTCTCTAAAATATGGGGGAGAAGGCAACAGAAATTATGCAGGAATCCATATTCCACCTTGAGCAACTCTCACAAATCTGTTCTCTTCACTCTCATTCACTAAGTACCTAGCCCACAAATCTAGTAGCAGAGTTTAGACTCCAGATTTCCTAATGCCTCTCCACTTCCATTTGCCCAAGTATGTCATAGAATGCATGTTTTTAGAAGAAATATTTAAGCAAGGAATGTAAATGTAAATCCCCTAAATGAAAGATTTTCAGATTAAATTAGAAGGGGATAGAGTGGGGAGATGGCTCACTGGAATAAGTGCTTGCCTGGCAAACACAGGGGCCTGAGTCCAAACCCCAGTTCCACCAAAAAAAAAAAAAAAAAAAAAAGAAGTGTGTCAAAGTTAACAGCTAGGAAAAGGAACAAAAGTAGGATCCAAATGGCTGAATGGTAGTACCCACATTTGTAATTTTTCTTTCCTAAATTCAAGTTTGTGGAAAACAGGCCCCATCACAGGGATAGAGTAACAGGCAGCAAATGCAGCCCTCCTCTCCATAATGGGGTGAAAATGAAACTCTACCAAGTTCCTTTTCCAGGCCCTGAATGTGAAACAGACAGCAATGTATTCCATCCAGGTTTGGCACCTTATCTCGAGGCTAGCAAGGAAGGCTTCTGAGTAGGGAAAACTGTGAGTAGCTCCTTCTGTTCTCCTTTCTGAAGTGTGACACTTGAGCCCAGCCCCACCATTCATTGGCTATATGATCCTGGGCTCACCAATTTCCTCTCTTCATCTCAATGTCCTCATTCCCTCAAAAGAGGCATACTCTCCAAAGGCTGCCCTCCACAGCTCTGAGGTGAAGGATGTAGCTGTCATGCTCACAGACATGCAATAATGTCCCTCCCTTGATCTTCCTTTTTGCCTGTCCTGAAAAGACATGTTCTTCCAAGTACCAAAAACTTTATATTGGCAGCCACACAGAGTATATATCAAAAGAAAATAAAAACTAGAAAACTTTTTGAAAAAGGTTGATTTTTCTCTTCTGAATTTGAATGAAAGAAAATACATGATAAGCAACAAATATAACACAGGGTAATAAAAAATAATTCGTGCTTTCTTCCTTTGTCTGGACTATTTTGTCTATTTTCTCAGAGACTGGTAACATTCTCCAAAAATATTAACTCAAAAAATTAGGCATCACTGCCTTTATGATTTTTCTTTTAATATGAGTACTACAATGGCTAGACATGCATATATAAGCCACACAGAAACCTCAGGATAAGAATGTCCTTTCTACTCAACAGAATTAAATAATTGTCCCATAGGTTTAATGAGATCATTTAAATATCTCACAATTTGACCTTACCCTTTGAATTCACTCTTGTACCTCAGGCTTTGGGATGTAACCCAAGAAAGAACTATATTATGTTTCAACTTATGCATGTATATTAAATATGAATATTCAAAAAAGCATTTTTCTATCTCAATAATAATTATGCTCAGCCATATTATTATGACTGCCTTGTATTACTTTATAAAACATCAATGTAGTTTATTGACCTTAGTCATTAGAAAAAGCTATTCTATAAGTTCCACATCAATGAAGTAGTCTAAAATGTATCCATTACACCAGCAAAAAAAATCATATAAAGTAATAGGATTCTCAAATGACATTATCTTATCAATATCTCTAAATATTTACTATTAAGGTACACTTAAAAATAAATTACCAAGAAAAAGCATATAGTAAAATCTAAAAAAAAAGAAATTTTAATATTAAATAAATCATTCCATTTTTTTCAAATTTTCATACATATTTCATAAACAAAACACAGCACATACATTAAACCCTTAAGACTTAACAGTAATGACCTTCCACAAGACTTACATGAGACAAACTGAAGAAATAACAAAATCAAGCAGTTAAGTGCTTTATTCCAAAGAGAATCACTTTAATTTTTAGGGTTAAATTTTAAAGGTCATAAAGAAATCAAACAGACATGAAAGAAAGGGAGGAATCAATCATTGCACTGATATTTCATCTCAGAACAGGTAAAAATATTTGGAAATACAAATCATGTCAATGGAAGTCTCAGGCTGACGGTGGGTAATGGATTTCAGTGGGACATAAGAAAACTTGAGGGATGACAGAAATATTCTATAGCTGGACTGCTGGCTGTGGTTATGTGACTATATACATTTGCCCAAATGCTTCAAATTGTTTGCTTAAAATAGGTCCATATGATGGACTTCCATTACACTTATATCTCAGTAAAGCTGCTTTTAAGTTTATTAGTGAGACAACATCCACAATGCCTTCTAGGCACTGACAAAACATCCTATACATACCTGAAGCTGTGCCACAGCATGGTGGCACCCACCATGCAGAAGAAAAGATGCTTGCAATCACATCAGGTGGAAATAGCGTCACATTTCTCTGAATCTGGAGCAAATTTAACACTAAAGCAAGAAATACTCCAATAAAAAACAAGACTACTCCTCGAATCACCAAGTTCACACTCTGGCTAGTGACAGATGAGATATATGGGCCACTCTTTTTGGGCCCAGGTGATGCTGTTTCTCCTTCTGCCATGGTTTCATAAGTTCAGTAAGCTGGAAAAAAAAAAAAAAAGGAAAGGCTTCCGAGCTGAAAAGCTCAATTATTTGTAATTCAAGGTAGACAGACGTTTCACAGTACTACATCTTATCTGAAGGGACCTACCAGAAATCCTGTAAAAGATAAGAAAAAACAAATCAATGTGTGTCTAATATATGATCATATAATTTTTATTACACTATTAACTGATTTAAAAAGACAAATAGTGAAATGATAAACTTGCATACCTATTTATTTAAATTAGGTACTGTTGAATAAGAAAAAATGCAAAAATATTTTACACATATGATGCAATAAAAAATGAAGTGTTTACCAGGATACAATGAGTGACCTGAGAGATCCAAAGATTTAAGTAATATTAAAACGCTTATTCCATCTCATAGAAAAGTGGTGCACGAGGGCCAGCGAGATGACTCAATGGACTAAGCACCTGTTTAGGCAAGCGAAGGGACCGGGGTCTGATCCCTGCACCACATAGCACATTGGTCCCGAACCCGGGCACACTGAGCTGACCACTGAGACCAGGCATGGTGGTGCATGCCTATAACCCCAATGCTGGGAAGGCTGAAAATAGGAGGATCACTACAAGTCCGAGCTGCGTTGTGAGACCCTGTGCCAAAAACATACAAAAAAGAAAAGGAAAGAAAAGTGGAACAGATATTCTGAGGTACTTCTGACAGAATCTGTTAGATCAAAACCCAAGGATTTGTATCTTCCACTTAAATCTCCAAGCCCATCAATTACAGTATTTTTATATTTTACAGAAAAATCACGTACTGACTTGAAGGTAATCTATTTCACATAATAAAATGTGACTTGCTCATGAGGACAACTCTACAGAAGAATAAAATGGCTATCTTAATGTTTAATGCTTACATATTTGAATTGCTGCACAAAAGCATTCTATAAAAACAACCAGGTTCTCATACATACAGTAGCCACAGAAGCCAGATCTGAGCACACTCCCCAAGACCACAGGTAGGTCCAACTCCTACTTTAACCTTAAATGCAATCATGAAAGTAACTATGAGAAAGATAGAAGAAGAAAGGAAGGTAAGAGAAGAATAACCTCACGACTAGACTTGAGAAGTTCTTACTCACGTGGTCCCTGACTCCTAATACCCAGACTACACTAGGGTCAGTCTAGGTATTTGTTTACTCCTCTGACAAAAGTGTTCCTGTGGTTTAGGTATTGTTTATGCACCAAGATTATTGAATTGAGAGCTTGGATCTTAGTGGGCTGACTTTGGGAAATAGACCCTGAAGAGGTAGAACATGGTGGGAGGGCCTTGGGTCAACTGGGCTGACCACTGAGACCAGGCACGGTGTCTTTAGAAGACACTGTGGGATACACCACCTCTCAGGCTTCCTGGTTAATGATGTGATTTTGCCTTCTATCTATGCTTCTGCCATCTGTTATAAGCAGAGCTGATTCCTTTATATCATGCCCTTATACCTCTCTGAGCTAAATAAAACTCTTTTCTTTATAAAGCTTGTCTGCTTCAAGTATTTTGTTATAGTAATGGAAAATTAACTAATACAGTGATCTTTCTTTTGCCTGTACTTAAGACAAATAATGTGAGGCTTTCTGTATGCCATTCTAAGCACTTGACATATGGTAACTCATTTAACCCTCAAAAATAACCCTAAGAGGTTAAGTGTAATTAGTCTGTCCATTTTATAGATAAGGCAAAATGGCAAAGAAAGGTTAAAGAAACTTGACCAAGTTTATACTCAGTAAGAGATGGGTGTGGGATTCAAATCCATGATTCCAAACCTTAATTCTTAGCATGGGCTGTTCCCTGAACTGTCAGATATCTTTCTATTAACTTTCAACAATACTAGTAATTTTAAAATAGGAAAATACTACACAGGCAATTTTTGTCATTTATTTTCACCTTTCCTAGATGGCCATCTTTACAAGTCAGGACATAAACGGTATTTATTTAAAATCATAGGTAGTACTTACAATAATGACCTTATAATCATATGTACAGTTGCTTTATGGATTACAAAGTTTATGCAGATCTTATGCACTATTTTTCTACTGCGTCTCCATACCCAGAAAACTGCCTGCTTAGTCCTCAATGGAAGCTCCACACACTCCCAGTTGTTTAAGTAAATGAGGGTAATTATCTTTGAATCAAATTATAGTGGGTTAAGCAAGCCTTTTAGAAGGCAACTTTAGAGCCTTGCCATCATTTACAACACATTACCTCTAAGTTTCCGATTTTTAAACTATACTACAAATGAATTTTAGAACAAAACTCAATGGGTAAACTCCAGGGAACAAAGGCAACATTAGAAATAACCATTACAAAAACATATGTAGGTACTAGTAACTTGTACAGCCTATTAGTTCCATGTGATACACAATTGGCTTTTTAACTGAGCCTCTGCCATACTTAAAGTACTGTCCCTAAGCTAGGCCTCACCAACTTACTTAGTCTATAGTGTAATTGAACCCCACAGCCTAAAGGATCAGAGATAATAGTATATATTATAGTAGAATTGTGGGAAAGTTCTAAATTCCAATTGCAAATGTCCAGAAAACATCTCCACCTGAACTGGCATTCAGATTATTGCTTGCCATCCTGTGGTATTCAGGTATACTAACATGGTACGTGTTTTAGATATTCTTAGTTTAGCATCATCAATAAAATCATCATCATCTTTATTTTTTTATTATTTATTTATTTATTTATTTATTTATTTATTTATTGTGGAACCAGGGATTGAACTCAGGCCCTTGTGCTTGCCAGGGAAGCACTTATTCCACAGAGCCATCTCCCTGGCCCCAATCACCATCTTTATTGAGAAAGGACTCATTGAGGGCATACTCTCTATGCTAGACATACAGTAACTATGGCCCTCAAAATAATCTTAAAGTTAGGAATTCTCATTTTATCAATGAAGATGCTAAATCAAAAAGATTTAGCAACTGGATTAATGGTCACAGGACATGCAGGATTAGAACAGGAGTTTTACTTCAGGTCTAACTGATCCCAGAAATCTATTCTATTTCCTTTATATCTGGAGTCCCATTCCACTTCAAATACTTAGACCTGTATAAAACTATTTGGCTACTGAAGAGATGGGTATACATCAGAAAAACAGTTCAACTAAAGTATATCTCAAGGTGTTGATGGCAACATAAGTAGAAGACTGAATAGTAACACAAAGATAATAAATGTATGAACATCTTAAGCTTTTTTCTAAAAAATACTAGATCAAAGTGAAAAGATGTTCTAAAGTAAAAGGCAAAATAAAACAAATGACTAACTTACATACTGTATGAAACCAACAACTGGCTTCCTAATTGGCTTCCCAAACTGCCAGAGGCAGAGCAAATCCCCCACAGCTTCAAGAGGATGAGTATATGTCCTGCATAACCCAAACCCGGTAAATCATTTGTTTTCATCTATAAATTTTTCCAAAAGGGAACTAATGGCCAAGAGACAATTTTTTTTTAATAGTTAAAAGAACAAAACAACTTCAGTTTCAACAGTTATTTCAGCTGTGCTAACTCCCAACTCACAATCATTTGCCAGCATTTGTCAAAGAGTATTGGCATTCAGGATAGGGTAATTGTCTAAAAGTGCCTAAGCCTTGCATATCATTTAACTTTCCTGGTTTCTGCCCATTAAAATGCCAACCTCTCTCATTCATGATAACCAAAATTGTGCCCGCATTACTGACAAATGTCCCAACTGTAAGCCACAGATTGCTAGAAACCTCTTCTTTCATTCTATTTCAAGACCACTAGCAATTTTTTAAAGTGTTTATTCATGTTTTCTGCCACAGACATTTATTCAACCTTTCCTGGTAGTGATTCTTTACAGTTTTATAAATACTCCATGACCAAAGTTTTCTTTTAAAATAACATTTATTTGATGTTTATTTAAATAAGACCTGCCAAGCTAACATTGTTCTACATTATAAAACGATACTATATAATTATTGGTTATCATTATTACAAATGCTACAATGCTTTAGAACCATGGTATTCTAAAATTTAAGAAGTAAAAAGGAAGCAGGAGATCATCTACTCGAAGGGGGATTTGAGCTTCATTAAAAACAAAAACACAACATATATGTGTGTATTTTCCTTAGAAAAAAATTCAACAATTCATATTAAGTACTCCTAAAATTCCACTATCCAGACAAACTCAGGAATCAGTGAATTAGTTCTCTCACTTCACCATCAAGGCAAATGCTATTTGGAGTGATCAAGTAATTGATAAGTAAGACTGTACTACTGGACCTTACTATCACAGACATGCAAAGTGAATGCCTGGGAATGACTTGACTCATCAAAAAGTTCCACAGAATCATTCACCAGCTATGTGCAACAATAAAGGTCCAAATGTGTCAGTCACTCATTAGGGAAGTAGGTTGTTTTAAAAGGAAAACTAAGGAATAAGTACCACTTAATTTGTTTTGAATTTTTTTTCTGATAAGTTAATGATTTTTAAAACAACATGTATTTATATCTTTATATATTATTTTGCATGAATAAGAAATTTTATTCTCCATCTTTTTAAAAAAAAATCTGTATTTGAAAAATGTGGGTTATTTGAAAAATATTTTGCTGAGGGGCTGGTGAAATGGCTCAGTGGTCTAAAGCACCTACTTAGAACAAGCTTAGCAAAGCACAGGGACCTAGTTCAATCCCCCAGCACCACATGCCAGCCAGCCCCGCCCCCTGGTAGGCTGAGCTGGCCACACACACACACAAATAAAAAAAATTTTTTTTTTTTTAAATTGTGCTGATCAAAGAAAGTCTCTGGTATCTACACTACACAGAGGACAAAAAATATCCCACAGATCCTCAAAGAAAATGTTGGGAATAAATAGGTAGGTGATTTAAATTCTGATTTTACAAAAATCAGCCAGTAAGATAGCTCACTGGACTAAACACATACTTAGGCAAGTGCAGGGGCCAGGGTTCGATCCCTGGCGCCACATGCCATACGAGGGCGTGCTGAGCCGCCACCCAGATCAGGCATGGTGGCACACACCTGTAATACCAGGGCTGGAGAGGCTGAAAACTGGAGGATCACTAAGAGTCTGAGCTGTGTAGTGAGACCCTATACCAAATACATAAAAAAAA